TTGGCTTTTTCCGGCGGCTTTTAGATCGGCAACCAAGCAGCAACAGGGCACCAGCACAGCGACCAGCACGAGGCAAGCCAAGCACCAGCAACAGTCAGCTAGTACCCTTCAATATCATCGCAAAGAGATCTGGATCACACCAGAACCCAAAACCGCAAACAACGCAGCACAGCAAGGAAGCAAACAACAATAATATCAGGTGTGTCTACACACCACAAATAAAAGGAAACCATATAAGACAGCAAAGGACCCTTCTTCGATATAGCAGGCCTTCGGGCAGCTGAAAGAGGATCAAGTTTGGAATTTTTCTTGGACAACTGGCACTGGCACTGCCTAATGTTTGGGCCCGCTGGGAAATTGCCCGTGGACCTCACCACCATAAGGGCTGCGTGCCAATCTGTCAGAATCGTGATAAAAACCTTTCAAACACACGCAGCGTGCATAAAACAGCTGGAATAGAGGTTATGAATTCAAGGTATTTTAATAAACAATGTGTTCAAATGTGAACGGCAGGATGGCGAGTTTTTTAAAACGTGAATAGCTACTCTATCCACCATCACAATGTCGTGTGTAGTGTGTGTGTGGGTGTGTGTGGGTGTGTGGGTGTACGTGTCATATATTTTCCAAGAAAGAATTTCCATTTGCTGCTTCACAGTTTGTAGAACAGAAAAAATGAACAAAATAGAAAGTGCATGACAGCGTTTTTGACAAGACATGAAGAAAGTGGCTTTGTTGATTCATTGTTACTTAAGCGACATCGAGCCGAAGTATGGACATGAATCAAATATGGTTTCTGTATTTCGCTTTCACGCCTCCAGAGTATTGTCATTTCGTGAAGAAAATCAGATCGAGTCAGCAAATAATGACACCTTTTTTTAGATATACTAGTGTGCTAGCAGAAAGGAGAAAAAAAAAGAGGAAATAAATGTGGTTAGAACAATAAGTAGTTCCCCGCTGAGCTGCACAAACAAGAAAGGTAAAGAAAAGACTGGGGTTCTTTTGTGCAGGGGCCGAGAATGTTGATCATAGCCCAGGCAGTGAATATGTAAATAGCTAGGATACACAACAACCACATATGACTACAACTACACAGGCAACGCCTAGTGAGATCACGTACACGAAATACAGGTTCTATCTTAAATCAAGTAAATGAATATAACCATCACATTCAACATCTTTATTTTTCTGTACACAAAACTAAGTGTTTTACGGATAACATTACATAACAACCAACTTTGTGTTCGAACAGACTTTGTGCTATTCACTCAAGCCAGCAAGGAAATGGGATTATAAACGCATACGTTCAGAAAAAAAAAATTATATCAGTGATGGCAAAAATCGAAAGATAATAACATGCGCGTTTAGGTTTTAACATATCACCAGATCACAAAATGGCCTCGAGCGACCTGCAACAAACTATTTCCAAATGAGGATGCACAATAGAAATCTAGATCTAACACACAGTTTAACTACTGGAGACAATTTAGATTCAATGCTGTCTGACTATTGAAATGTACCACCGCACACTTCATGTATCTCCAGCCAGTAGCCCGAACCCATGCTGCTCAGCTCATGTGCAGTGCCGCCGCCTATACGTGGGATCTCATGTCCCTGGGCGACCGGCGGGATCAGAATTCGGAAGCCAAAAGATTCTTCTCGTAATCGTAATCGTGAAGCCAAACAAAAATGTCAAATTTTGTCCTCTTTCATCTGCCCGAAGGCCTGCTTTATCGAGGACGGTATCTTTGTTATCTGATTGAATTCGATTCTGTGTGGCGATCCTTTTCGCCTAAGTTAGATTATTTGCTGCTGCATCATGTCTGCTGGGTCAGGCTTGGCGGGCGTATTTCAGTTTTTTTTAGAGTGGAACTGGCAGCCCTGAAAAGGACTGCCATTTTTGTCTAGGGTGGCATGGAACGGAAAGGGCGGGGTCTCCGGTGAGCTGGTTAAGTGGGTTGTCATGGCGGCTTGTGTGGTTTCGATTGGTTGTTGTTACTAGTGCTGGTAGTGGTTCTTCTGCCTATTGTGTATTTTGTGGGTTTCCTTAACGTCAGGCGTTGCTTTTGTGCTTCCTGATCAAAATGTAGTGTTGCGGCTGTTTTAATTTCTTTGAAGAATTGGAGGAACCAGTCTTGTCTGGCTTGGTATGTCTCAGGTGTTAGGCTTTCCTCCTCCTCTTTACGCGCGTCCTCGTCATATTCTGTCTAGACACGGTTTGGTTTCACAATCAGCTTGTGCGGAAACATTTACTCATTTATTCTCCTGTGAAGTTCTTATACGTCAGCCTGGCTGATTTCGGTACCCTCCTCTGGGAATTTTTGTATGACTTTAGCTACTCTGTCTGTTTCAGTGCTCCGATCTTCGCTTATAGTGGGATCTGTAGTTGTGCCTGGTGCCTCGTTGCTAACGCTTTAGTGACTGTGCTCTTGTCGGCCCTGCTGACATTTTGTTTCTTGGCGGCTTTCTCTCTTTCGTTCTGTAACCGGGCGCACTCTGTTCTGACTGTCATCTTGGCCGCTTCTGCTTCTGCTTTAGCCTGTACTAGTCGGGTGACTTCTCTGTAGGCTTCCTCTCTCGCCTCTTTCAGCACGGACACCTTTCTGCTCCTCTCCTCCCTCTCCTCCTGTCTGCGTCTTTCGTCTGCTGCCTGGGCCGCAGCCAAACTTGCAATGAGAGCGCTGACGTTATCTTTGGTTTCTGTGGCTTCTTTCTTACTTTCCCTTATTTGTACAACATACGCTATCCTGTCATCTTTCAGGGCTTTTATTTCTCCCAGCATCAGGGAGATTAGATCATGCGTCTCTGCTCTTTCGGCGGTGGCAACGGCTTTCTGCTTCTGTATTTCGGTTCTCAGTTCCGATATCGTTCTTATTAGATCTTGGTCCTCGGTGGCTGCTTTTCTCTTCTCCAGTGGAACGGCTTTTGATGGCACGGTGGGCTGGCTTCTTGGTTGCGGTCTGGGGGCCTCGTACCTCTGAGGGTTACTGGGATCGGCAGTAAACACCGCTCTCTTCATGTCCTTGAGGTGAAGGCTTCCCATGTATCTCGCACTGTGAGAACCTGTGCAGTTTGAACACCTTCTGTTGGTGTTCGGTTTTTTAAGTCGGTGTCTAGATACGGCAGTGGGCAGTCCTTGAATTCCTGCTGCTTTGAGCAGTACCTTTAATCAAGTAACAGAAAGTATTGTGAACGGCACTCATAGAAAGAAGTAGAAAGATAGAAGAACACACTAGACAACATAAAAATCGAAAGCTATAGTTACCGTGCCGGGAATTTTCATGGCGAGGCGCAGACGCCGTCTGGAGGTGACAGATCCTATCAACGTTGGCCAGGCCCCTGGCAGGGAATCTGTTTCTAGGATTACCAGGGAACATGTTTCTAGGATGACCAGGGAACATGTTTCTAGGATGACCAGGGAACATGTTTCTAGGATGACCAGGGAACTTGTTTCTAGGATGACTGTGGAACCAGTTTTTAGGATGACCGGGGAACCAGTTCCTAGGATGACCAGGGACCCAGTTTCTAGGATGACCGGGGAACCAGTTTCTAGAATGACTGGGTAACCAGTTTCCAGGATCACCGGGAAACCAGTTTCTAATATGACCCGACAGCCAGTTTTTAGGATGACCGGGGAACCAGTTTCTAGGATAATAGGGAAAACAGTTCCTAGGATGACCAGGGACCTAGTTTTTAGGATGACCTCGGAACCAGTTTCTAGAATGACCGGGTAACCAGTTTCCAGGATCACCGGGAAACCAGTTTCTAATATGACCGGACAGCCAGTTTCTAGGATGACCGGGGAACCGGTTTTTAGGATGACCGGGGAACCAGTTTCTAGGATGACCAGAGAGCCAGTTTCTAGGATGACCGGGGAATCAGTTTTTAGGATGACCGGGGAACCAGTTTATAGGATGACCGAGGAATCAATTTTTAGGATGACCAGGGAACCATTTTTTACGATGAAAGGGGAACCAGTTTCTAGGACGACAGAGGAACCAGTTTCTAGGATAATAGGGAAAACAGTTCCTAGGATGACCAGGGACCTAGTTTTTGGGATGACCTGGGAACCAGTTTTTAGAATGACCGGGTAACCAGTTTCCAGGATCACCGGGAAACCAGTTTCTAATATGACCGGACAGCCAGTTTCTAGGATGACCGGGGAACCAGTTTTTAGAAAGACCGGGGAACCAGTTTCTAGGATGACCGGAGAGCCAGTTTCTAGGATGACCGGGGAACCAGTTTTTAGGATGACCGAGGAATCAATTTTTAGGATGACCAGGGAACCATTTTTTACAATGAAAGAGGAACCAGTTTCTAGGAAGACCGAGAAACCAGTTTCTAGGATAATAGGGAAAACAGTTCCTAGGATGACCAGGGACCTAGTTTTTAGGATGACCTGGGAACCAGTTTCTAGGATGACCGGGAAACAAGTTTTTAGAATGACCGGGGAACAAGTTTTTAGGATGAAAGGGGAACCAGTTTCTAGGACGACCGAGGAACCAGTTTCTAGGATGACCGGGAAACCAGTTTTTAGGATGACCGGGGAACAAGTTTTTAGAATGACCGGGGAACAAGTTTTTATGATGACCACACAGAGGTGTAGATAGATCTTGATCAGTGTGAACCCTGGTCCTGGTGCACCAACATGTGTGTTTCAGCACTTCTGTAGCCCACATGGCAGTTCCAGCCAGAAGTCAGCTTCACAGTAAAATAATAACACGAAACCACGAAACCACGAAATAAACGTTGCGGCTAGACAACCTTCATCAGCATATCATGAATTATATAAGCCTATTAAAAATGTTTAGTTTGATGCTTAGGGAAGATGATCCGTCGACTAACAATCAATACATGCGAGTGTATTCATCACTTGTCTCCGCTGCCTGGTTGTTCAACTTTCACCAGGCTTACTGTACGGGGCGGTACAAATGCCACACAATCAATACCCACATAGTGTAAGCTCATATAAATACTACGGTGCCGGGTTACACCTTGACAATATGGCGGAATATCAGAAAATAGATGCAGACTAGTGAGTAGACGACAGTGGTTTTTGTTCTTGATGTTGTCTTCTTTGCTATTCTCAAAAGTGTTTTCCCGTTGTAAATTTAAAGTATGCAGACACAATCAATACACTGCACAATTTATTGCCTGGCATGTTTGACTGTATATCGCCAGTTGCATTACTACAGAGTTAACATCGTCATCATCATCATCATCATCATTATTTGGTGCCTTGCAGACTGGCGTGGGCGATCATGCCTCTCCATAATCTGCGATCTCCTGCAGCATGTATCAGTTCGTGTGCCGACACACCTCCATGCCATGCAACAAGACTGTCAAGCATCTTCTCTCGTTGTCTTCCTCTATCCCTCCTTCCACAGATCTTTCCAGTGGTCACAACATGTTCTTTTCTCATTCTTCTCACAAGATGGCCGAAAAATGATGACTGCCTCCTTCTGATGTCTGTGATAAGTTGTCTTCGGGCTCCTGCCTTTTTCAAAACCTCTTGGTTGCTCTTTTTTTTCTGTCCAAGGTATTCTAAGCATTCTTCTGTAAAACCACATCTCTGAGGCCTCAAGAAATTGTTTGGCCTGCCTGCCGATTGTCCAGGATTCACAGCCAGATGTTAAAACTGGATGTATGTAGCAAGCAAGAATTCTTTTTCTAACTCTCAATGACAGAATTAACACTAACATATAATTCAAATTTTGCACTAAATATCGTCTGATAGATGAGGTAACTAGTCTGAGTCCAACCTTCCTTCGCTGAATCTTACGTCACGCAATATCCTTATCCTATCGTGCCGTCAGCTGTAACATTGTAGTCGTCAAATCCCTTCCATCCTGAGTATTATTTCACTATCACGGACGAAATCGAGTACAGTACCTTTGGCTCCTGACTTAACAACATTTTTCTTAGGTAACTGAGTGATCTCTGTGTATGACGTCCGCCTCGAGTGCTGGATGTCCTGGGTTCAGGTCCCGATAAAGGCTGGGATTTGTTTTCCTTCTAGTGATTTCCCGTGGTCTCTTGGTAGTAAGATCGGATGCACATTTGTATTGTTGCGCACGTTAAAAAATCCCTTGGCAGTTGGAAATCGAAAAGAGTAGTCTAACGGCTCTACCCTAGCAAAATTGGTACCTAAAATATTTCGGGATCCTCGTCGGTGCTACGGAGTTCATGCATTGCGCTGGGATTCTTCGGAGTCAGGCTTGAGTTAGAAGTAGAACGGAGCACTTATGGGTTACTACCTTGGTGCCCTGATGTCGATCCGTTGTTTTAACCTCAACCTATTCGTCTTAGGGTTTCTTTTTTGTACGTCCTCGTTTCCTCGGTCCATTCGTTTTCGCAAACACGTATGACCCCAACAAAGCCCCAAAAAGCTGTAATAACAATGTCTTGAATGACCAAACAATGTCTTGAATGACCAAACAATGTCTTGAATGACCAAACAATGTCTTGAATGACCAAACAATGTCTTGAATGACCAAACAATGTCTTCCTAGACCTCCTGAGAAAAAGGCAGAAGTAAAGAGAAGTTAAAAGTAGTGTCCTGCATTTTATTAGTTGTGTAGCTTGTGTTAACATCGTGATTAATTTCCTTAATGTCTCTTTCCTTTCCTCCACCCATCTAATATTTGGTCGGCCTCTTGCTCGTTGCCTGCTGTTCTCGTGTTGTACGCTCTAGCTGCTGGCTGATTTAATTCTATTTTAACCATATGACCAAATCATTTCATTCTTTGATGTTCTATAAAGTTATGAAAGAACATCTTTGGGGCTCTATGGAATCATGTAGGTTCTGAAAACACACAGGCAGATGAAAAGAAAAGATCGGGCTACCACAACAGGTAGTATATAAGCAGATACCAATATACCCATGACAACAGACAGAGATAAGGAGGAAGTATGTTTGCCGAGATTTATTACACAAACTGATCATTAAGATTAGGAACGTAGAAATGCAGTTAGGGATAATCTATTGAACTACCATTTATGATAATTGCTTTCAGGAGATTGTTCGTGTGGGTTATATAAAACATACATTGCATAAAACAAAAGACAGTGCGTCTGGGCCAGACAGAGTCAGGTAGGCCCACAGGATGGACATAAGTTATGATAGGCTTCTACTTCAACGAGAGCATCAGAACAACGTCAGAACCCTAGGATTGACTGACTAACTGACGTTCTACCCCACCAGGACATAACACAAGCGATAAACACCCGATGACACAGTGCCACCATGTGGATGAGGATCGCCGTGGAGAGGTCCCAGAAATCGCGTTCAGACAATTAGCCATATTTATGGCCTGCCTATATTGCAGACCCTTGCAAAAGCCAGAATAGGGTTTCCAAAAAAAAAAATAAAAATTCATCCTGAAAAGGACAAACTGGATTTCTACCTAGGATTTGGCAAACAGCTATTTAATACCTCTTCCAACGCCAGGCAAAGATCATTTGAGACTCAGCGGTTTCAGGATTGTCAGTCTGTAAAATACCTTTGGCAAGGTGCATGAGAGTATAATTGCTGTTAAAATTCAGGCTTTTTCATAAATGAGGCTTGCGCAGTAACCGGTCAGGGAAAGTTACCTGGTTAAATACGGCGACGTTTGCCTTTGATGTTTTATGAGGGGTTCCGGAAAAGACAGGAGACGGTGCGGATAACTCTTGTTCTTGAGGATGCGTACAATAGAGTCAGATTTGATATTTTGATATCTACGCTCATAGAGAAGGTAGTCTATCCCTGGCTGGTGAACTGGATAGTAGCTGTCCTGCATTCACATAAAGTCGCCCTCCGCCTGGGTACAAAGACCTACGTGCCCAATAAAGTAAAGTAAGAAAGTCAAGATCACTTATCACGCCTTAAGGCGTATCGGGTATAAGGGAAGAGCGCCTACATTTGTACACACCAACCGGCACAAGGTGGGTAATGTGGTCAGCATTACGCCGGCCTTCTATACTTCCTCAGGACATCCATCCTGGTACCCATTTTAGGCTGGATCGACCTGAGACGCCATATACCATGATAAACATCCACGCAGCCAGCAGTGGGTTTTTGATCGCGGTATGTTGGAATTACGAGTCGGAAGCAACGTCTAAGCCATGTACCCAATACTGCGTATCAAATACCATATACCGAATACCATATACCGAATACCATATACCGAATACCATATACCGAATACCATATACCGAATACCATATACCGAATACCATATACCGAATAGTCCTTAAGTGGCAAAGGGACCTTTTCTATGTATCTTATTTGTATAACATTTTGTGCATAATATGATAATAAAGTTAATGATGATTATGGTGATTATAATGACGATGACAGTAACGACGACGACGGTAATGGTGATGTTGACAACCACGACGACAACGACTGTAAAACGAAACAGCTGCCAACACAAGTTTATCAATCGACTAATAATGCCGTCCGACCCCACCCTAGATCCTCCATTGCTGCTTACTGTAATCTATTCTTTTCTGATACCACAGTTCGGATCACTCGGCGACGGCCAAATCAAATTACTACCGCAAAGGTACAGTGATCGTGTGTGTCTGTTGGTTGAAAGGTTTACAGTGAGCTGTATAGATTGTGTGTACATGATACTTGTGTCTGCTGAAAAGCTTTGATGTCGTGTTGATGTCCTCCCTAGCGTTTCTCGCCATCTCTCTAGCTTTATTCTCTCTCTCTCTCTCTCTCTCTCTCTCTCTCTCTCTCTCTCTCTCTCTCTCTCTCCCTCCCTCTCTCTTATGCATCTCTCCCCATTTGTTTCTCCTCTTCTCCTTCCCTCCCTCCTCTCATCTCCAGCTCGCTCTCTGTGTCTCTACTTTTATCTGTGCGTGTCCCCTCCCTCTCTATACCTATCTCTCATTCACATATACAAGTTATTTACTTATACAGTACTTCTTTGTCTCTTGTCTCACGCTTTTTTTTTCTTAAACACCTATTTCTCTCTCACACAAACATACACCATCTTTCTCTCTCTCTCTCTCTCTCTCTCTCTCTCTCTCTCTCTCTCTCTCTCTCTCTCTCTCTCTCTCTCTCTCTCTCTCTCTCTTGATATAGGTCTTTAACTTGTAATCTACTTTGTTTTTCTTTTCTCTTATCATGTTTCATGCATTCTCTGTCTCTGCTTGTGTGTGTGTATGCAGGCGCACGTGTGTGTGTTTGCTGGTGCGCGCGCGCACGAGCGTTCTGTGTTCTGAATAAGTGAATAAGATGTCAGCTACTTAGCTTGTGCTTTCCTAGTCTTTATTTATAATGCTTGTCTCTCTCTTCCTCTCGCTCTCTCTCTCTTTCTCTCGCTCTCTCTCTTTCTCTCTGTCTTTGTCTCTCTCTCTCTCTCTCTCTCTCTCTCTCTCTCTCTCTCTCTCTCTCTCTCTCTCTCTCTTCTCCCTCCCCACCTTCAGTGATAACCCACTGACTTGTTTTCTTCGCCACAGAGGAACACCTGGAGATCGACCTATTCCAAAGGGAGGCAGATCTGCATCATCGTCGCCTGACCTGCTCGAGAAATCCCGGTCACGAAAACTTTATCCCGATCCCAGATTTAACCTTAGATTGTTTCCCGGAAGCGTTACGTCACCAGGAGGTCCTTGATTACGTCGTTGCTTTCAGTAAACTTGTTGTCAGGCAAGTATGATTTATTTATATGTTGCTGTTGGTTGCAGTGTTCAGTTTCAGTGGCCAGGCGTGCACACAACAGCTGTAATTCCCGCTGAAACTTTCGTTTTCCTCCTTAAAGTGCATGTTCTGTGGTGATGACAGTCATGTCTATTCAAAACCTTTTGTCTCGTGTGCTTTCAGTCAACTCTGGCACAGATGATCCTCCATGCCATGATGTCCAATTATCCAGCATCTTCTCTCTCTCTCTCTCTCGGTCTCCTTCTGCCTCGCTCATCCCCCAGCTCTCCCACAGTCACGATATATATCAGTTTTCTCCTTCCCGTTAGTTAGTTAGTTAGTTAGTTAGTTAGTTAGTTAGTTGGGTTATCCTCATTGCACTCCGGACATGTCCATAGGTGCTCAGATCCTCCCCTCAGTATGAACCCCAACGTCCGATGGCTAATAGTACCAGTTCTATGTTGATTAACAAGTCTTCTGGCGTAGCTGGTGTGCGTCTCGTTTTTTTTTTTTTTTTTTTTGCTGTGCCGATCTTAATTCCCAAGTCTGCCATTCTGGCGAGTGATGTGGATTCACTGCCACCAAAGTTTCTCCTTCCCGTGTCATGATCAAAGAATGTAGATTATCTTCTTCTGATGTGGGCAATCGGCTCTCTCCATTGTCACAAAAACATTCATTATTCTACTATGTATTGCTAACTTAAGACAAGTATGTATGCTGGAGAACATTGGGCGAAGAGAGGAGTGGTTCAGAGTACCCGAGGACAAGTCTGACCTGTGTAGGGCTATGATCACATTAGGCCGGGAGTGCAGTGGGTTGTCAGCTGGTGCTACGGTGGAGTATAACCAGATTGTGACTGGTACCATCAGTATTGGAACTCTGCGCTGGCTGCTGAAGATGAGGACGGAACACGCATGGAAATGCCCAGAGTGCTGTGAAGTCAATTCTTGACTCAACTCAACAACTACTGTTGTCTATATATTACAAATAGGCCACTCGCTTTACGTCTCCAAATAGCGAAAAGAACGGTCAGTGAATGCTTACATCACTCATTCAGACGCTGTAACGTATAAAAGCTACCAGTTACTCGTACTTACTACCATGTTAGTTGCGCATGCATACTCTCATCAGCGAAGCGACGAGGAAAATATCACGTTAGACCCTTACTATAATGGGGCACCCCTCACTCTGACACCAGGCTAGTGTAACCTGCAGTCTTGTAAGCAGCGATTGTTTAATATGAAAAAGATACCTTGCTGACTTATTTTAATATACTACGGTATTTCTCTTCAATGGAAAGGCGTGGTGTTGCGGTTAATTCGCCTGCAAATCCGAAGTTCGTAGGTTTGGATCATGACATAACCGGACTTTTTCGAAAACTACCTTGACTCGTCGACCCAGCTTTGGGCGGGTACCAGGTATAATCCTGGGAAGTAACTGCGGTTGGCGTGATTTAGCCATATATGCCCCATAAGCCAGAAAGCGCTGAAAATGTTCCTTTACTTTTTCTCTTCAAAATCAACATTCACTTCCCATTAAAGGTTAAAGGTGAAACACACAAGCGGTGACAGGCCAAAGAACGACCCGTTTCAAAACTTCATTGGGCGAGACGTCTTGCGAGGTGCCACAGGATGTGTGATTGGCGAAGTGGACATGATCAACATCGAAGAGTTCCCTTGCAGGGATGACGGTTGCCTTTTACAGGTATAGTTGCCTTTTCCATGTATAGTTGTCTGTTACAGGTATAGTTACCTTTTACAGGTATAGTTTTGCCTTTTACAGGTATGGTTGCTTTTTACAAGCATAGTTTCTTGTGCAGGTATAGTTGCTTTTTGCAAGTATCGTTGCTTTGTGCAGGTATTCTCTGTAAAAGTAGAGGTAAGTGAAACACCCTTGACTAGCAAAGATTCAATGTCTACTGTTGGGGATTTAAAATAATACCGTTCTATTGGCTTTCGTGCAGCCACCAAAAAATCTACATACTGATGGTACCAGTTTTCATCTGGTTAAATACTCGTTCTGCCTTTTCCTCAAGTCGCAAGTGGAGTCCAGACTCGCTGACCAGTGTACAATCCTTACTGGCCCTGAAAAGAGGAGTGCATCAGGACAGTGAAATAAAAAAAGGAACATTAAAACTTTATTAATATTCTCCCCCCAGATGACGTCACAGGACAGTCCAACATTTTAAAGGGTGGTAAGACTGGGTTTCCCGGCTTTCTGGTGCTTTTAACGACCCCAAAACATCTAGATCTGGCCCTAACCCCAACCCACCTACCTCCCACGAAAGAGTGCAACCTAGGTTCCACAACTGCATGCAGCCTAGGTCCCACAACTGCATGCAGCCTATCTACCACCCCCCATAAATATTAGACTGTCCCGTGACCTCTGGATTTCCCCTGTTTGGGGTAGGATATTAATAAAGCACTGGACTCTTTTCCACGCCTTGAGGCGCAATGGGCATATATGGCTAGACCTATCTTTTGTAGACCAATGTGAGCTCAGTGGCGAAATGGTCAATGTCACGACGGTCGCATTTACTTTTCAGAATTATTACCTGGTACCCATTTAAGTTTGTGTCGACATGAAAGCCTATAGTTTTTTTCAAAGGTCCAGGACCTTTCAGATTTGAATCCATGACCTTCGCATCCACGAGCGAGCGTCTAGCTACTTACAGCCACTGCTCCCTAGGTAACTGAAACAGGTACTGAGATGAGAAGTAGATGGTCTGAGGAAACAAGGACGCCCAAGACGACTGAGCTGGATTCCAATCATGATACCGCAAGGATTGCAAAAGGATAGAAAATGGAATGTGGGAATCAACTGCAAGTTTTGTGTGATATATAGTGGCACAACATGATGAAGATTGTGTTGGTGAGGTTGATGCTGAGGTTGATGATGATGTAGGTAGCTAGTTTGCTAAAACACATGTAACGTCGTACACGAGAGATGGACAGACAACCTCATTTATTTGTGAATAGATGAAGAAGTAATAGGCTTATAGGTAACAGATGTAGATGTTTATGCATGTTGAAAGAACAATATACAGACAGGCACACAGATAGCCAGGCAGAGAGACAAGCAGAAAGTCATACTGACGAACCGACATACAGACAGATATCCAGACAAACAGACGTGCATGCATTATACAGACAGACAGATAGACAGACAGACAGACAGACAGACAGACAGACAGACAGACAGACAGACAGACAGACAGACAGACAGACAGACAGACAGACAGACAGACAGACAGACAGACAGACAGACAGACAGACGGCGGACGGAAGGACGGACGGACGGAAGGACGGACGGACGGACAGACAGACAGACAGACAGACAGACAGACAGACAGACAGACAGACAGACAGACAGACAGACAGACAGACAGACAGACAGACAGACAGACAGACAGACAGACAGACAGACAGACAGACAGACAGACAGACAGACGATTAAACAGAGAAACGTACATATATCCAGTCAGATAGATAGATAGATAGATAGATAGATAGATAGATAGATAGATAGATAGATAGATAGATAGATAGATAGATAGATAGATAGATAGATAGATAGATAGATAGATAGATAGATAGATAGATAGATAGATAGATAGATAGATAGATAGATAGATAGATAGATAGATAGATAGATAGATAGATAGATAGATAGATAGATAGATAGATAGATAGATAGATAGATAGATAGATAGATAGATAGATAGATAGATAGATAGATAGATAGATAGATAGATAGATAGATAGATAGATAGATAGATAGATAGATAGATAGATAGATAGATAGATAGGCAGGCAGGCAGGCAGGCAGGCAGGCAGGCAGGCAGGCAGGCAGGCAGGCAGGCAGGCAGGCAGATAGATAGATAGATAGATAGATAGATAGATAGATAGATAGATAGATAGATAGATAGATAGATAGATAGATAGATAGATAGATAGATAGATAGATAGATAGATAGATAGATAGATAGATAGATAGATAGATAGATAGATAGATAGATAGATAGATAGATAGATAGATAGATAGATAGATAGATAGATAGATAGATAGATAGATAGATAGATAGATAGATAGATAGATAGATAGATAGATAGATAGATAGATAGATAGATAGATAGATAGATAGATAGATAGATAGATAGATAGATAGATAGATAGATAGATAGATAGACAGTCAATCATAGAAAGGGACAGTCATGTAGTCAGATAGATAGTCGGGCAATCATATAAATAGATTGGCCAGAAGCGGCAGTGACATGGTACCAAAAAATGACTTAACCCACCAAGAGACTAAGACACTAATACTATTTAGTATACAAGAAAGGTGGCTGGATACACACACCAAATTATCTCCTCAAGATTCGCTTCATCGCCTCTCTAGAGAGGGACAGTGTATTATATTCAGATTAAGCACGGGGCACAACAGACTTCGTCAACATTTCGGTGTATCAAACACGGAGACGTGTCCCTGCAACTTGGCACCCGAAAATGCTGAGCTGTCAACTGTATGCTGACAACAGAGATGCAATCTGGTCTGTTCTTACCACAATGAAGACAAAACTGTATGGTACGCGAGAATATATGGACTGCATGATAGCTTTCATAAAGGCTACGAGCCTCCTGACAAGTTTTCTGACAGAAGGATCGAAGTAGATATAAATAGACATGCATACAGAGACACACAGATACTCAGTCAGACAGACTGACAAAATCTCACATCTGAGGATAACTGGAGACTGGCAGTATATCTGTTGATAATTCTAATCACCCAGTTATCAAGCCGTAACATCGCTTTGTTCTGTCTCCCTCAGGGATGTGTTCACAGCGTGTACGGATTTATCGACGTACTCACCAACTGCCACGTAGTTCACGATGCAAAAGAGGCGCGGTTTACAGAGGTGGAGTTCTTCTTCGACGCGCCTGACAGATTCAGTGTTGTAACTTTGAAAGGTCATGAAGTGAAGCGAATCAGCCGAGATGAGGAACGGGTTGTTGTTCGATGTGTCACCCATGATATTGATTTCCTCAAGAAACTGTATCACTTGGTGGAGACAGCAAAAAGCCTGGGTTTGGCAATTCCCAGATCGGTGAAGGATTCTTCAATGACGGATTTTGCCATAATCGTATCCCACCCTCATGGATCAGTTAAGGGGTTCTCCATTGGGAGGCTTTTGGAATACAGGAAAACTCCAGAGAAAACAGGAATGTTGAAAAGGTTCCTACGGCAGGCGGCGGGGAAACGCCCCTGTCTGCGTGTCACGACATATACCACTCCCACTTGCCCCGGTTGCACAGGTGCGCCCGTGGTCACAGGATACGACGATGGTTGGGGTTGGTGGTCGCTTTCTCATAGTACCGCTGATCTGAACTCTGGGATAAACATGGCTTTCTCTGATTAACAACAGTTCTTGTCTACATGTAGTAACGTCTACATGTAGTAACTTTTGACTCTGAGAACTCTAAAACTGTGTTATTAATCAAAGTGTTTCAAAAATAGTATTTCTATTATTGCGTCGGTTTAGTAAACCAAAATTTTGATACATAAATATACATTTCGTTAATACTAGAAAGATGCATCTACTTTCTACGCCAAAAAAAAGGCCCATCTCTCTAGCGTAGTTGGCTAAACCGGATTGCGCGGTGACCGGGTGACGAACTCCTTGTGGTCCGGGTTCACTCCCGGGGGTAGGCAGAAAAGCCACATTTCTCCCAGATTTACGGTATTTACAATGGAATCAAGGCCGAAAGGTTGCGATATCCATAATTCCGAGCCTAAGGGTTAACAACTCATGGCTTCTGAATACTTAAACAAACAAACGCCCAAAAAAGACACATATCTTCTTGAATACTTACACAAATGCAATGCGAAATATTGTCCTCCTCTTCATCTTCTTCTTTTTCTTCTTCTTCTTCTTCTTCTTCTTCTTCTTCTTCTTCTTCTTCTTCTTCTTCTTCTTCTTCTTCTTCTTCTTCTTCTTCTTCTTCTTCTTCTTCTTCTCCTCCTTCTTCTTCTTCTTTTTTTCCCTCTGCCCCCCTCCTCCGAATTCTTGTTCTTGTTGCTGTTCTTCTTCTTCTTTTTTTTTCATCCGCTTTCACCTCCTCGTGCTTCTTCTTCTTCTCCTCCTCCTCGTCTTCTTCTGCTCCTCATTTTTCTCCTTCTCCTTTTTACTTTTTAAATCATATATATGTGTGTGTGTATGCGCGCGCGCGCGTGCATACAAAGCAGCACAATCGCATTTCTTATGGCATTTGTTACCCAGGCTGTCCTGACTTGCCCCAGTGAAAATAAAACCACAAAGAAGACCTAACTATCCAGTATTCCCTGATATATATATTTTTTAACGTGTATGTGTACCTTTACATGCATCCAAAATACATACACTAATTTTGAAACACCTTGTATTTGTACAGACAGAAAAGCCTATTCAGTCAAATTGAAAGAGCAAATGTCAAAACATGTACGTGCCTGAACAAAACTGTATTAATTGTGTTGACACGTTGTATATATCAAAACTCTTGTTGTACTTTCATGTTGCCTTATGTAAACCTAAACCCAAAAAATTTATTAATAAATTCTTTCATCACTGTTTATCTTCAAACGAACGAACTTTATTTTCAAAGGGTCACAAACTGGGCACGCAAGCCCGTCTTACATTCGGCCCTTCCAAACACCAGTCTTTCACGCAGCAGTTGTATTTTATTAATAAGCATGTTATGGTTGTATAGTGATATGCATATTATGAATATCAAGAAAAAAAAACACAAAAGTATCGGTGGTAAAATGCATGCACACGCTCGCACGGGCACACACACACACGCACACTCACTCACTTACACACACATGCATACACATCCATACACATATACATACATATTACACACACACATACCGCACAAACATAAATACATACCTCACAAACATACATACATACACGCAGGAACAGACACACCCACAGATACATATACAGACACACATAGACACGCTCAGACACACACGCAAACACACACACTGCAGAAACCAGCGTGCATACAACTAGTATGTCAGTAGTCTTTCATATAACCAGTGCGTCACACGGTGATGTGAATGCAACAAGGACACCACATAGATACTCTGCTTATATACAGTATACACACACACAAATAAAGCAACCTAAATACTGTGAAAGAAGCGAGGGCCTGAAGACAGCCTGTTATCCCAAACATCAGGAGGCAAGTCATCATAAGTTGGCCATGTTAGGGGGAGAAAAACACTGAAACATGTTTCAGAACCCCTGGAAAGAAAAGTGGGAAATAGATCGCGGAAAACAACGCGAGATGATTCTTGACAGTTTCTTGTCATGGCGTGAAGGTTTATCAGCACATGAGCTGATACATGTTGTTAAAGATCGCAGGTTGTGGAGAAGTATGAACTCCAGTTGGCAAGGAACTTGATGATATAAAGCACAATTCAACCCTGTCGCCTGGAAGAACAGAGAAGTGCCATTACTATGCTTTTTTGCCAGCCCGGTGATTATATGTTCAAATGCTTTGCTGGGAAAAAATCGTCACGTTGAACTAGCAATCTCGAAGGAGGAGCTTTAGGTTATAATTGTGACTGCTATGTGCGCCATAGAAAATGGCCTAGAATTGAACGCCACCAAGAGCCATGAAAAGGACTCCTGTAGTTTTGATGCGATCAAAGGAGATAGACCCTAATACTACCCCGACTGAGGACGAAGTCGTCTACGGGCAAGCCAATGTGTGACCCCGTCGCCGATGATATTTTAGAAATCCTGTGAGCTTGAGCTTGAAAAATCGAAAAAAAAAAAACGAAAAACTTCGGACGGCTTCAACCTGCCTCTGGGGCTTGGTTTTAATTGCGTCCTGGTTTCTTTGCGGTTTTTGTTTCTTGGTTTTTGTGTGTCGTTGTCTCATTTCTAGTTGTAGGATTCCTTGCTGTTCTTGCAACTGTGGCTTGGGTCGGGCTTGGTAGGTTTGCTAGTCCTGAGAAGGACTAGAGGGGTATGCCTGGCACGGCCTGTGAGGTGGTGGGTGGGCGTAGATCTGGCAGTGGGAAGTGGGCGGGACTGTTGCGCAGGTGGGCTTTCCGGGCCGGTGAGCTGGGTTTTGGCAGGTGTCATGTCGGCTAGGGCAGTTCTGGTTGGCTGATTACTTTGGGTTCATCGGTCGGTTCGTCTGCTGGGTTTGGTTGGCAATGTCATCTATTCGGTCGTTTTTTGTGGTTCTTTCGCCTTACAGAGTTGCGCATGGGCTGCATTGAGTTGGTCGCGCATTACGAGGAAACTGAGGCGTCTGGGTCTAAGTGGCCCGATTGGTAATCGGCCCTTCTGGGCCAATGTTTCCTTGCAGTACTGTATCTTGTACTCGCCATTGACAAGGTTGATTCCGTGTGGGTGCATGACCTGGTTGTACCTCTCTCGCATTTCTTTGATGTAGGTCTCAAGGGCTTCTTTCTCATCTTCCGCACTCTCTCCCTCTGGTTCTCCCTGATTCTTGGCCTGGGTTTTTGCCGCTGGAATCTGATTTCTTCTGGCTGCTGATTTCCTGGCCTCCTCTCGAACTTCAATTACTATGTTTGTGGCTGCTAGGTCTTTCTCCACTTGTTCATTTGCCTTGCTGACTTTGGTAATCTTTGCTTCTAGTGCTGCGAGTGTTTTCTTCGTATTTGCCGCTTCGGCCTGACTGGTCTCGGCGCTTTCTTCTTTTTGTTTCTTGAGATCGGTTAGGACTGCTAGGAGGTCGCACTTGAATTTCCCCATGTCTGCTAGCTCGATCTCCTGCCGTTTCTGTGTTTCGAGGGATTCTTGCAGCAGTCTCCTTATTTCGATGTTTTCGTCTCTAGTATGGTCTTGTTTCTTTTTAATGGCGCCGTTTTCCTCCCGTAAGGCATCGATCTCGGCCTGGGTTTTGTTTGCTTCTGTGAGGTCTCTCGGTCTGGGAGCCTGGTAGCTCTGGCTTCCTTCTGTGCGGGCGTTGCGTTTGGTGGCGGTGGTTGTCAGTGATCTCTTGCAGTCTTTGATGTATGGGCATCCTTGGTACCTCGCGCTATGGTTCCCTGCGCAGTTGGAGCACTTTCTGTTAAGGTTGGGCTTTTTGAAGTCCGAGTCCTTCTTTGCTAGGCTGCACTCCCTGAAGTTGTGCGGCCCGGCGCAGTAACGACAAATTGGGCTGCTCCGGCAGGTAGCGGCTGTGTGCCACGCCTTGTTACAGCGTGAGCATTGAGGAAGCTCTGTGCTGTATGTTCCCGGTCGCTGCTGCTGTCTGACTGGGCGGGTGTAGGTAGGCTCCTGCGCCACGACTGGGTCGGCTTCTAGGAATACAGGAGCCTCGATAGGGCATATATCCAGGGCTGGCGGCGTCTGGGTGAGCGAGGCTGGCGTCACTTCTGGGTCGTCGGCCGGTTCTGGCACTGTCGGCACTGTTGGGGCTGGTGCGGCAACAGGCTCATCTTCCTTCTTGGCAGAGGTCGACCTGGTTTCCCGGTGCTGGGTCGGGGTCTTCTTGCCACGGGCCATGGTTTGGTGTGGCTGTGGCTGTGGCTGGCTGGCAGAGGCGGTACTTCTAAGGCTGCTGTCGAAAGCTAGGTCCCTTCGGAGTAGGCAAGGCTTGTTAGAGTATTCTGAAAAGAACACCCAAGCGTGCTTCCTCCTCAGTTCACTAGACAAACGAGTAACAACTGGCTGGTACGTCTGCGGTATCGGGCGGTAGAGCAAGCGAGAGCTGTTTGCGACTTGGCTGTCGGGCTGCGAGAGTGATGATGATCCGATGGTAAAAAAAGGAAATCCTGTGTGCCAGCTCTCTGGCTTTATGTCCCCGTCCTAGTACTTGACCGCTCCTTCCTGTATGTGTCCACTGTCTTCCTCTTATCCTTTTGACGTTTTTTCCTCGTGCGTCATCCTCCGTCCGGTTCAACCTCCTTACTACTTTGTCCGTGTGTCCTCCAATGTGTTCCCGAATCTATTCCCTTCCTTGTTTGGCGTATGCCGAGTTGCTAATTCGCAACTTATCTTTACATAAAGTCCTTTCGGGCCACCATTTATATTTTTTTAATTTTGAGTATTTGAAATTGATGATGATGATGATGGTTATATTTTCGCTTCACTGACCTGGAATCCAAAACCAACTTAGAACTTCGCTCTCGTCTCTGAACGTCTGAAAGTCTCTCTTTCTTCAGCCTTTTCGCTAGCCCTATGTGCTTTCATATCCATGCGTTTTCAGTGTCTTCTATTGACCATCGTGAGGGTCTGTCTGTGCAACGTGTTCCTGACACTCCGCTTTATGATCGTTTTCTCTAACCCACCATAACGGTAGTGGATGCTATGTATGAGCCAATTTTCCCTCAGTGTTCAGACTATGTACCATGTCAGTGCCCCAAACCCCCCCCCCCCTTTTTTTTCCC